GCCAAGTTGGGATGATTCGGAGGGAGAGCTATCTTCTGCATTTCAAGTGATCGTTCATACGATGAAAGTGCTTTCGAGTACTCGCCCATGTTATGATACACAGAACCGATGTTGAGGTAGGAAGGAGCCAAGCTGAGATCATTCGGAGAGAGAATTTTCTTGTAAATATCCAGTGATTTTTCGTAATATAAAAGTGATTTTGAATACTCGCCTAGGTGTCTAGAAACCCAGCCAAGTTGATGATTGTATTCCGCTCGATCTTTATCAGAAGGTGCCTTTTCAATGAGGATCTGATAGAGTTGTTGTGCTTTTGCAGGCTCACCAAGTTTAATAAGTATGTGACCAAATCGAGCCCATCCTGTTGCCCAAGTGGACTCTCCTCGCAGATGTGCTGTAAGTGTGTTCAATTCATGATTGTCATTACCGACAATAGTGAGAGTGACTTTGTATAGCCGATCAGAGTGATTATCGTGAATTTGTTCAATGCGATCGATACGAAAAATCGCATGTGTTGAAAAGAGTATTTCTTCCTCTTTATCTTTGTAGTAGCCAACTTTGCTTACTTCAGCAAATGGTGTTGAGGATTTTGTGCAAATAGCCGTGTCAATGTTCATAACGAAGAGAATACCAATTGAATTTGTATTTAATGCTGCTGGTCGTGCAAAGTTTCTGAAAGATATCTCGCGATTGCGACTTGTCGATAGGAAGTTATTGAAGGACATAAGTCCTCCTTTGGTTTTTTTCATTTTTTCAAAATCTTCCATGGACAAACCTTGTCCACGAAAGACTTGAAAATTTGTTGGCATGCTGGCTTTTTGTTCGCGATGTAGTTCGGTAATATGCTGATGTAGATCTCGGATGAAGAAACCCATCTTCTGGATAATATCAACATCCATTTGTCGAAGACCATAATTGAGCATTGAGTAGATAAAATATGGACCTGTGTACCACCAAATGGGTGAATGATTACGATATTCTCGTTCGATCTTGTCAAGCGTTGTTTTGGAAACATCGTCTTGCAGACGACAGTATTCAACGAGTTCCTTAATCGATTTTACATCATCATCTTCTATTTCCAAAAGTGCTTCTTTTAACAATTGTGTATACATAAATAATGGATCGATTCTATTAAAACTTATCGAGATCATAGCTCGATCACAATTTTCTTGATCGATTTGTAATGCGGCACAAATCGGTTCAATTTGTGTGTACACACCTTTTACCTTAGGTATTGTTTTGGTCCATTTCTCGTAAGTCGATTGATTGTCACATAAAACATAAATGGAAGTTAATTGTGAGCATTCTTGAATTACCGGTATTAGATGTTGTCCGAGGGCACCAGAGATGATCATAAATACATTTTCATTTTCAATATCACTTAGAAAATCAATACATTCATCAATGTCTGTAAATGTTGTCACTGTTTCTAAAATATTTCGTAAATGTTGTGTTGATATTTTATAATTGTCTTTGGATTCGTCGAAATCGGTATCAAGCCATACCAGCAGAGAGTTTTGACGCTCTCGACGCCTAGGTCGAGGCAGCACAGCAGCAGCACGATTGTTCGCGTTGGTAATAGTGGTGGTGCTAGGCGTCGCTGCTGCACCACTGGTAACAGTTGTTGTCGGTTTTTTTTTGCTCATCGTAATTGAACGAATGAATATCATCAGTGAAACGAAGTCCCCTATATTTATAATTGTTAAATTTTTTGTTGGTTAACATCGTTCCTTTTCTGACTTGTGGCTACAGACTTCAAGAACCTCTACTATCTGGATCATTTTTGTTTCAAGAGTGTTACTGACAAAATGACGATAATGGATGGATCAAGTCTCTATACATCGAACCATAAATAAAGAAGAATGACTAAGGAAACAAATAGTCGCTGAGGATCGACGACATGACTAGTCCGAAATGTCGAAAATACCTGTCCTAACTAGTTATCCTGACATGAAAACTCCTGCAGCTACGTCTGAACTAGACCAGAATGTCCTTGAACTTTGGCATGTCTAGTTCGTTTGTCTATCTAACCTGTCCACATTAGTTCATAGAACGGCAAAAGAGCATTTCTAAAAGTAAAGATTGTGCCTTTCATTGCTGGTACTCGTGTTGAAATATATGCACACAAACAGTTACTCTGTTTAATATGTTTTACAATAAGATTGTTTTTTACATACAAGATTCTGCAACCAAGACAATCGATTGCATGTTCTGAGTATTATCAAGCGAAGTTCTCTTAAAACTACTTTATAAACATAAAAATAACACATGTTTATGTACCGTCATTTTTTTTGTGTGTAGCTACTCTTTACTTTTAACTTTAATTTTCTTACTAGTCTAATAATGTTAGAAACTAAATACACTTACGTGCTATGTAATGTTGGAGTATAGCAAATTTTGTTTTGTGTGCTTGCAATCGATTTTGTTCTGTATTTATCATTGACAAAATTACTTGGTTTTTTCCTACAAACGTATATTTACATGAATCAATGAAGCATGACTTTTTCATCATGTAAACGACTTTTTCGACCATGTGTTCGTCATAAAATACGTTTCGTTTTTCATATATTCTACTTCTTCCTTTTTTACCTTACCTTTGCGTTTCGTGTTGTTGCAATGATAAAATATACACTGATACTTGTATAAGCGTAAATTTGAGTTATGATGATTCATTAGACTTTGAACTTTATTCTAATATATATAAATATTTTCTATCGTAAAATTTTTTTTGAAATTGATAATTATAGAAGTAGTGTTGAAAGCTTCAAAATAAATAAATGAAAAATTTTATATTTTTTATTTTATCGTTCGATGTATGAAAAACTCTATTTATCACTCAAACTTCGTTAGATGCATCCGAAGAAAGTATGGCGAATGTGCTTTAAGAAGACTCAGGCATTTTGAGAGGTGGGTGTGAGTGTTTGTATTGCTTATCCCTACACACTCCCATTCACACCCTCAATTACTTGGTTTAAATATCTAAGAATTTCAATCATAATCAAGCAATAATCAACAATCAATAAATAAAAGTAAACAATATTGATACAAATGAATAACATCTTTCAATCAGTATTCAACAAATAATGAATGATTTTAATTTTAATGTAAATCTTTTTTTAATGTGTTGATATGGTATGTTATATTTGTTTACAACATAATGATCATAATGTTGTGTCAAGTTCATTGAAACACTTGAAATTATACTTAAATATTCAAATTTATTTGATTTTGATCAATTATTAATTTCAACCCAAATTGGATCTATAGAAGAAATGCGTGTTAGTGAAGTCTTAAAAACAGGTAAATATTGAGAAAAAAAACAAGAATTTTTTTTTTTCATTTGTTTTTTTTCTTCTAAAACAATAACTTATTCAGCATATCAACATTGATTTATTGAAATGAATGATGAATTCGATTCAACATCAATGATTAATAATGAAAAATGAATATCAGCTGCTAAACTTGTTAATCAATTACATTTTTTTTCCGATTAGATATATACTTAATATGGATGCTACGATAAAAAGTGATGATGAATCATGTATTAGTGTTAAATGTGCTATATCAATATGTCTATCGTATTTATAAACAATTTGATTCATTTGTTTATCTTACTAAAAGTATGTTTAATTCTTGTTTGACTTTTTTTTATAATCCAAAATTATTTCTAATGTCGTAACAGTAGGAGGGCCTAGGTGAAGGGAATTGTGGCAGCGTTTAGTTGACGTAGCTTCAATTGGTTAAGGTCTCAAAGTTTTAATGAAAGTTATCTGATAGATATGACAATTTCACTATTAAATTGTTGAAACATATATATATATATTGGAATCTGAAAATTCAAGAAGGGAGATTTCTCAATATTGATTCAGCAGCTCTAGACGTATTCCTACTTTTAATTTTTCTGAAATCAACAAAAGACTAGAACATTATCAGACTCGCAAAGATGTCAAGTAGAACATTTTATTGAAGCTCAAAGCCTGCATTTATACATCAGAGATTGAAATTATACAATCACATAACTACCTCAAAAAAAGTTCTAAGCCGAAGTTCGAGATATGAAAGCAATTGTATCGTCTAAGGAGTTTTTCTTTAGTCTTTGAAGATTTCTGATTAGATATAATTTTATAATTAAAATTGAATTCTCTAAAGGAAAAAATGAAATTCACATCTCTATATGACTTGTAATACATTAAAATTTATCGAACATCAAGGTATCTTTTTTTTAAGATATTACATATCTTTTATCTTTATGTGAACATGGTGATCTACATTTACGTGGTGCATGTGCAAATTTACTTGTTACATTAATTCAAACAACAATTCATCTTTTAACACTCATTATTATCAAATTCATTTAATAATTCTTTTATTAATTAATGTTCACTTATATCAACTGATTCACAAGATAGTTCAAGGTTATATGTCTTAATGATAATAATGCGCGTGTTATACATGTTTCACTAAATGCTTTACGAACATTATTACCTTTTTTATTAATTAATAGTCATGCATTTACAATCATAGGAATTAAATTATTAGAAGATTCTATTCAACATACTACAAGTTCCTATGTTCTTGTTAAAGTAGATAAAACAAAAATATGATTATAATAATTTTTTTTTATATGTATATAAAATAGGTTAGTCTAGCTCAATTTATAGATGATATTGATTTTCGAATATTAACTTATCTTGAACAACAATTAAAACAACAGTACCCTGATATACGTGTTCGTCAAGTAACTGCTTCGACTTTTGCTAAGTATGTATTTTGTAGAGATAATAACTACGTAGCTTTTTTCGAATTTGGATGAATAAGTCGAGTTTATTGCATTAAGTTAGTTATTAGCTACTTTTTGATTTTAAGATTTTGTTGATCACAATTCATTTTTACCATGTCAATGGATATATAAAATTCATCATTCATTACACGTTCAAACATCAACTCGAATGCAAATTCTTTGGTATTTTTGTCTTTTATATAGATTGGATGTTTAGAAGATATTTATGTTCTTTCAAATGTTTTAAGACCAACAACAATTCGACCAATTTTTTCATAATCAATATGATGAACTTCGTTTATTTATAATTTTTTTTTAAACATCCCTTTATATTACATGATCTTAATAATTTAATCTTTTCAAGTAAAGAGAAAAAAAAAGATATTTATTATGTTTTTTTTGAATTCTTTCTTTTTATTTGAAGATTTATCAAATCTCAACAAATGAAAAAATGTTTTGAAAGTAGCACAAATGATTCAAGTAATTCGAAAATGAACTATTTTATTACCGTTCTCGAACTATGGCAAAAATATTCACAATCATCATTCTTTTGGACAGAATATAGTTGATATTTCAGTTTTCACAGAAGAAGAGAGTTCCAATGTTTTAGATTTGAAGAATATATTTGATCATGTTTCGTCTAAAGGAATTCATTTGTTTTTTCTTTTTTAAGAGAATGATAAAGGCTCATCAACAACATCAAATACAGACAAAGATTAAAAAAAGTTAATCATACACAATTAGGTACTTTTGAAAATTATTCGAATTAATATGTTCATCATGTCAACTACATAAAAGTTTATTAAATTCATCAGAAATGATTATTATTGTTTATGAAATCAGTTTTAAGTCTTATTTCTACAGAAGATTTATCAAAAAATTTGAAAGAAACACTTAATTATTTTAAATCAACATTCAATGTACACAAGAGGTAACTTCTTTTAAATAGTAAATATTTATTGTAAAGAAAATTTCAGTTATTAATCTTTTTTTATTCATTGGTCAAGCTAAAAATTTTAGGATGTTGTATTGTGTCTGAAACTTGTCTATGGATAAAACTTTAGATGGAAATCTTATAATGAAGGTTTCTGAAAGGGTCTTTCATAGAGAAGAAAAATTTCAATATAAGAATGTCATAGTAACAGAAAAACTGATTTTACGAATATCGATGATCTTAACGAGAGTAGTTTTGTTGTGAAAGTGTCAGATCTTTTGATTCGGTTCTATCTTGAAATTCGAATATTAAATCAGCTAGTTTACGTGAGCGATCTGGAAGACACGCTATCAATTCGAAATTTGAAAATCATTTTTTTTTGTTACCACAACATTCATTTAAAAATATTCTTTTAATTTAGTTTTTATTAAGTCTTCAAATGTTTCTTCACAAGTATCATTAAATAATTCTTTAACTTATATTCATACAATAAGTATTCGACAATCGATAATTTATTTTATTTGGTTCATGTTATGCATCAAGTATAAATAGTGATCAATCCATAGAAAATAGTGCAATACGAGAGTAAAATAAACAAAAAAAAAACGAATTTGATCTATTCTGTTTTTTTGTTGTTGTCTATTTTATAGTTTTTATTGAACTAAAAGAAAATTAATCTTAAAAAATATATTAATATACAAATGAAAGTGATTTTCAAGCTGCTGTACTCGATTTACTTGTTCAATTACTTTTAATTCGTGTTAATAATAGTTAATTAGAAGCTGATGAAATTCGTTGCATTTCTAATCGTTTCGTTTATTTTTAAATAGCATTTTATTTATTGTATTGCTGAATTTCTTGTTATGTTATCACATGATACACTTCATTCAAAACAAGTTATTAAAGTACAAGATTTAATAAAACATTATGATTTATTATTAGCAAGTGGACATGAGCCTGAAACACATGGTAGGAAACAAAAAAAAACATTTTCGAGAAAAAGAAATTATCGTTAAAATTCTTTATTTAGCTTTGGCAGCATTAAAAGCAGTTTTATATGATTTTTTTCTTGTTCGAGTTATGCGAACAATTAAAATTCCTAAAACGTTTTATTAAATGAGAGAGTGTGAGTGTATATATGTAATTTTTCTCCTCGATTGAATCCACACCCACACTTCAACGAATCGATGATCTGAAAATAATCATCTTGTTGATGTCCAGAACTCAACAAGATTTAGAGACAGTAATCTTCAGTTATGTATTGGAGTTTGAAGGAAAACTAGGCGTCTTAATTATTATAAATAAAAGTATCTTTTCATGTCATGTGTATGTACTGAAAAAAAATAGTAATAGAATTTATATTGTTATAGGCTTTACGATTGTTCACAGTTATTGTCAATAAAGTTCAAATTGAAGATGATAAATGGAAACGTCTTTCACGACAAATTGTCTATGTACTTCTTGTTCATTTACAATCACATGTTACTATTGGTTTATCTCAGGTTATTTTTTTTGTTCAAATAGGATTAATCACTTTTGGAGATTTATTTCACACAATTAACACTATTTGATGTTGTGTCATCAGTTGAATTACGACCAATTGATCCATTTGTTATTGCTTTTCAAGTATTAGTAAATAGAAATGTTCGTTGTTTTTATTTATAAAATTTTCATGTAGTTTAAAATTTTTTATAATGTCAATTGTCAATCTACAAATCGATAATTAATCAATATAAATATAATACTTCGATGCATTGTACAAAATTTAACTGAAGATGCTATATTAACACGATAGAATGATGTTTTATTATCAGTTAATGGAACACGAGATGAAACTTTTAGTGCGTAAGTATTCGAAATGATTTTATTTATAATTTAAAAACTATTATTCTCGTTTCTGTTTTCAAAGCTCTTCTTCGTGTTTTGACATGACATAATATTATGAATTTCAACAAACACTTGACAATTATGTGGTCAAATCAATATGCCATTAGTTTCTCTTGCATCCGATTATCTTTATATACCTATGTATATTATGGACTAACTGAACAGATAAAAACTGGTTTCTATCAAAGTCAAAAGAGCTTAAGATTTCATCATAATCTATATGATAGTAACATATCACCCATTAATTTGAAGATAAAACTTTTCTGCTATTCATTAATTACTAATGAGCTAGCGAAAAACATTTGACTTTAAAATTCCTATTCTTATATAAGATCTATGATTTTATTTTAGCTAAACAATTTCGAACAATTATAAATGATTTTCGTTAATTATGAATTCATGATGAAACTGTACATCGTCTTGATACATTTTCATATTTAACTATTTTAAGTGAATATTTTAAATTATTATGATCATCATTTTACATACCACTATTATTACAACGGACACATATTCTGAATATACTTGATTATATACAAGAAGCATGGTGATCGTCGATATTAATACCATCATCATCATGAATTATATGTTGAACATTTAACATTAATAACAACACATTATCAATTATTATTATTATTTTTTATTTGAACAAAATGATACATGTACATAT